ACGAACCTCGATCCCCGCGCTCCAGACACCGCGGCCTCGCCATGGTGAGTGCGGTGGGGGTCCGCGGAGGTGGCGGCTCTGCGGCGGGCTCGGCCAGGCAGAACCCCCAAGAGGGCGGATGGCCCCAGAGTGAGAGGCGTCCGGGCGCCTTCGGGCCCCCTCTCCGCTGCCCAGTCGGAGGCATTCGAACCCAGAGCGGGACATTTGGGCCCCAGAAAGAGGGTCGGGGGCTTTCAAAAGATACTTTCAGCATCAAATGGGTTGTTTAGGTCCCCAGATGGGCATCTGAGCCCTCTCCGGAGGCATCTGAACCCAGGATGGAGCATCGGGACCCTCAGAGGGGGCGTTTGGACACCCCCCAAAGGGCTTTTTGAACCGAAGACAGGGCGTTTGGGCTCCGAGGTGGGGTGTTTGGGCCCCAGGGGGCGAGATAAAACACACTGCCTGGGAAAGGGGATTATTTGGGCCTGATGAAGGCTTTGGGTCCTGAGAGGATGCAGGGAAGGGGGCTCCCGAGGGGTGGCCATGGGTAGCTGGGCCTGGGTAGGGATGGGGGTGACTTCTGCAGATCAGACCCTTGAGGGCAGATTGGGGGTTCTCTGAGGACCAGCATTGCAGAGGGAGGAGGAGAAGGAGGCACATGGCTTAGGGGAGGAAGGGCCTGGGGTGAGTGGCAGCGGAGGTTAGAAAATGCTCTTGAATCCCTTGGGGACTGGAAAGGATTGGGGTCAGGGAGGTGGTTAAAAGGGGATGATGGCGAGGCCTCATGATTGATTTGGGGGCAGCCAGAAAAGGTTCTGAGGTTACTAGTGGGTTAAGGCTGTTGATGGGGGTGGGGGGTGCTTGGGGGCAGGGAGGAGTTTGTTGTGTTTGGATCTGTGAGAAGGTGGCTTCTCAAGATGAGGGTGGGAGAGGACTCGGCTTGGGTGGTGGGAGGTGAGGTGGAGGGAAGCCTGGGGTGGGGGTTGGAGGAGAAAATGAGGCAGCCAAGGTGGGCCTAGGTTTGGAGATGGATGTGGGTATTTCCTGGAAGGCTCCAGGGAAAAGGCTGGGACAAAGACTGTTGAGTCTGGGTGGGGAGTGGGCTGCAGAGCCAGAGCGAGGAGGGCGGTCCCCCTTTCCCTGGGGAAGGACAGGGCTGGGCAGAAGGCACCCTGGGTGGTGGGAGCAGGTGGGCGGAGCTGCTCAGGCCCCGTTGCGCACTGAAGCTGCAGGAAATGGGGTGGGGGGGGTCAAAGTTTAGGGTGCGTCAAATGAGCCAGCTTTTTAAGCCTTGACTCTCACCCCCTCGCTGCCCTTTCAGACTGGGAGAGCCGCCTTTTCCAAACAGGAGCGCTGGTTTTCTCGTGACCCCCGGCTCCACGCACTGTTCTGCATCTCCTCACTTGTGCCAAATGACAGTGCAGTACAGTGTGGCGTCAGTGACAGTCGGACGCCTCTTCCAGTGGCCCGAGGTGGGGGCTGCAGAGTTTGACCAGAGAGAACCTCCAGCGGGATCCCCTTCATCAGCCTGAGGGCCACTGGCTCCATGCTGGGCCCTCAGCGCTTCTGTTAACTCACACAGCTGGGCTCTGCGAGCAAACCAGCACTCTGGTGCTTTCCTACTTGCTGCCACCCACAACACCCCCAGCCCCCCCAGGCTCAGCCTCAGAACCATGCGCAGCCCTCCTCCCTGGCAGGGCTGGGGAGGACAGTCAGCCGCTGCCGTGTATCAGATCTCATACTTGCTGACACAGACTTGATGGCTCCTCTCACCGCTACCCCACTTTCCCCCGGCGGAACCTTGCAGAAGGGGCTCGGAAGCACTGGCAGGTGCCAGGAGGACCCCCCACCTCCCAAATCATCCCCGACCTGTGGCCCCAGCTAGTTTCTCTTTCCATTTGCAAATCAGCAAGGTTTGGGTGGGACAAGTCACTGTTAACTGGCCTTGGGCAGACTTTGGCCTGGGCCCTGTGGCTCCTTGGCCCGGGTGAGGGGCCCTGGCCTAGGTGTCTGATCTCATCTAACACTGCTCTCTGGCGCTGGCTGGGGGCTGGGGCAAGGCTGAGAAATAATACCCTCTTCCCTCCCCCACCCCATGATTTTTTTTTCTTGTCCAGCCTCTTGCTGGAGTTTAACATGAGAAATAAGGAAGCAGGAGACCAGCTGGGTTATTGTGGAGACAGTTTTGGGTGAAAGCTTAAAAGCTTCGGCTGTGGAAAGGAAAGAAACCCTGAGCAGGGGTCCCCAGTGATCATCGCTTCTCAGGTGATGGGCTTTCTGGGCGGCAGCCACCCTTTGAGACAGGGGACCTTCCCTCCTCCCAGCAAGGACAGGGGGAGAGGGCCTTACAGGCCCTGCAGGCAGAGCCACGCCTGTTTGCAGCAGCCTGCTAACCTAGTGTGGCACGGAGGTGGGGAGTGGCAGACACCTGCCTCCAGAGCCACCCTTGCTCCACCCTGCCTGTGTCCCTGGCCCCAGACAGCTGCTGCCCAAAGGTGGTGGAGAACTGTGCTGTAGGTGCAGGCAGGCAGGTCCCTGGTCGGGCTAGCTTTTCCATCCGGGCCAGGGGAGAGGATGGAGGTGCCCAGGCCGCCCATCTCTGTGCTGATCATCCTCTTCCCACTCCCTTGGCATTGCCTGGCCTTGGCGACCAGACGCCCATCCTCTCTCCTCACCTCCCCCGAGCACCCGCCTCTGGTGGCAGGACCCAGGGGATGGGCCCAGGCTGCTTTGCTCTCAGGAGCCAAGGGAAGCTGGCGGAACAAGGGCTCGTGGGTCTGGGGCCGCCCGGGGGGGCCGTTGGGAGCCCAGCGGCCGAGTCTTCTTTTAAGGGAACGCAGAAGTATCTCCATTTGGCCTCTGAACCTTCCCTTTAGACTTTGGACTTTTCTAGAATGCACACTTGTGGCATTTTTCCTTCTCAGCTTTCCTTCCCCCTCGTCAGTCTGTCCAGTCACCATCACTTTGACTTCCCCTCCCGTTCTGCCTATTGGGGGCTTGGCCTCAGCTTCCTCTTCCCTTAAATTTAAAAGAGGGGCCTGTTTTAGAGCAGTTCCAATGTGACCTGTTACTGATATTTGGGACAAGGTCGGGGTGGGGACTGTCGCTAGCCTCCATGGAAGCTCTGGAACCTCTATGTAGAATAATGCAAATACACAGAACAATTTGCATCGGTTTGGGGGACTCCCAGACCCCAAACTAAAACCCTTCTGTAGACTTGGACCCGCTTCTCCCTAACTGTGAAAGAAAATGCAGGAGGGGGCGCAGTCAGTGTGGACCACAGTGGTCTGGGGAGGGGGGTGCCTTCTTGGCAGCATTTACAGAAAGAAACCAGGGAAAATTCATTTTGCTGCCGAAAGCTAAATGTTGGGATTTGGGCCCTCCCCCACCCCCCCACCGTGTTCTTCCCCGCTGGGGATCCTTATACCTGGCTGCGTCCCCGCACACGGGTGCAGGAGCAGCCAGCCTGGGCCTCTCTTCCATCCCACCTCCAAACCCCGCATGCAGCAAGGGCTGCCTGCCACCGCCCAGCCAGTCCCCAGAACAGTCAGGGCTGGAAGGGGTTAAACACTGCAGCGCAGCTGGGGAAGCCGAGTTCAGTCCTGCAGCCTCTGCAGCCTCTGCCACCACTGCTGCCCTCTGCAGTCCCCTCCCCGACATCTGCCCCTCCTGCCTGGACGAAGCAGGACAGAATGGTGCCCTGTGCCTCCCTGTGTGCAGGGAGTGGAGCGGCTGCCCCCAACTTGGCCGGGGTTCTTTCGGGCACTCAGAGCCACCAGTTAGAATTTTTGCCAGTTGGGTGCACCATGCTTGGACTTAGCACCTCCAAATAGGTGACACAGAAACTAGCAGAGAGTCCCAGACACGGTCCCTGTGCCCCAGCCAAGGACTGGCCGGCTTCGGTTTAGAGCCTTCCAGAGCTGTTCGATCAGGCCCTTCGGGCAACTGCTCCCTTCACTCACCCCGGGGCTCCCAGCAGCATGGTGGCCTGTGCTGTGCCAGCGCAGCTGGTTTGGGGCTGGAGCAGCCCTTCACCCACTGGGTCAAGATCAGAAACCCTGTGTCTGGCAGCTTCGTGGGGCCCTGCGTCAGGCCAGCCTGGGTGTCCTGCCCACCCGAGTCCCCAGCTTCCTGAATCGGCAGAGTTCATCGCAGGCCCTGGCTCTGCTTCACACCCTGACTCCGGCATCCCTCCTGTGCCCAGGTGCACAGAATGCCACGTGGAGCTGGCCTCACACGGGGCGGGGCAGGGCCACTAGCCCGGTGACTGACTTTCTCCTTCCTGCTTTTCCAGGCTGACCAGCTGACTGAGGAGCAGATCGCAGGTGAGCTTGGCTTCCCCACGCCCCCTCGTCCAGCCTCACAAAGGCCTCTGCATCCCAGCCAGGTCTCAGTCTGGCCAGGGGTGACGTCTGACAGATAAGCTAGTGTGTCCCCCGCGTGTCCTCATGCTCTGCCCCGTGCTTAGGACATTGATGACTGGGGAATGAGAGCACGTCGGCACCCCAGCAACAGCGACCCCGCGGGCCCGGGGCAGGCCTCCGCCGGACCGCAGACGCGGCTCCTCCGGCCCTTGGCACCAGTGGCTGCAGGGCGAACCCGACGGTCCCAGCTCCTGCCAGTTAGGCTCAGCGAATGAGCTCCCTGCCTCCTTGTCCCGTTTTAGGAGCCGCCCAGGAGATGGCCTGTCACGCCCACCTCTGCACGTCCCTGTGCTTTGTACTCCCGTTTGCACGGGCTCACACTCCCCAGAAGCGCCTTCCCACAGTTCTCTGCATGGGCAGCCACTTCTCACCCTTCAGTCTCAGCCCGCTTGTCACCTCGGAGAGGCCTGCCCTGACTCCCTCTCAAGCAGACAGCCTTCCTTTAGTCTCTGTCGTGTCTCTCTGTTGATTTCCTTCACGGCCTTTTCACTGACGTTATTTTGTCTTTACCTGCCGTACCTCCCGTCGCTAGATGCGAGTTCCCGGAGCGGGGGCTTTGTTTTTGTTGGTCGCTGCCAGTCCCTTCAGTGCCTAGACCCTAGTAGGTGGTCCGCAAATTTTTGTTGGCTAAATAAGCGAACCAAAGAACCATCGCAAATCTCCCAGTGAGCCGAAAGAGTCCTTGGGTCCCATCTCACTCATTTTTGCGGTGCGTCCCACCCTCCACCCAATAAAGGCCAGGTAGATCACAGCTGGACTTGCCTTCTCTCCTCTCCTCCCCTGCCCCCACCCCAACACACAGTGACATTTTCAGCTTCTAAACTGTGGCCTGGGTGGCTATGGAGACCCAGCTGGGCAAGCCAGAGAGCGGCCTTGTTCAGTGATCGTGAGTTCAGGTGTGTACGTGACCCACTCCCTGCCCCTGAGGACAGCGAGGCCTCAGTGTGGGGAGGCGCTGGCACCCCAAGGACACACACCCTCATCATCTCCCCAGGGCCCAGGGGCTCGGGCACAGCTCAGCTATGTGTCTGGCACCCACCTGCCACCCACACCCCCAGCTCTCTGCCCTCATGTGACACAGGCACTTCATGCTCCACCTTGTCCCTGTTAGCAAACTGTCCACCGCCTCACCCCGGCCCACACCCTCTGGGAATAGGCGGCCAGGCATCTGTTCTCTGAGGCTTTGAGAGTAAGGAGCCCCAGATGCCAAAACGGGCCCAGTGGGAGGGCAGGAGCCACGTGCTGCTCTTCTCGCCCCTGATGCGTCCCCAGCTGTGGCCTTCCCACTCAGCGCCACTAGCTCCTCATCCCCCTGGCTTGGCAGCCGTCCTCTCTCCCCATCCCCCACCCCACCCCACGCACCGGCCGTCAGCCGTGTGCCACCGACCACCCCCACAGTCCACACGGCCCTTCACTCCCGGCTGCTCTTCTGGAAGCTGGTGGCCTCGGCCGGGGAAACTGGGCTGGCGTCGCCAGGCAGGAGGGATGTAGCGCCAACCAAAGGCGTTCCGGAGCCTTCCCTTCCCAGACAGCTGACCTTGGCTCTCATCCACTCCATGACATTGGTCCGTTTCATCCTTTGAGGGAGAGGCCAAAGCCAGGGACCGAAAGGAAACATAGAATTGTCTCAGTTTTCCCCATCCTCACCGAGCTAGGTTGGTGGAACAGGTAGCTTTACCTGTCTCAGGAAGGGTGCTCGGTCCCTGTTGACTGAAGGAAGGAAGGAAGGGGCCCCCCTGAGCACCAGGCCGAGCACGTAGCTGGGACCCGAAGGCCAGTTCTGGCTTCTGTAGGTGGGACTGACCCCCGGCCCGCCTCTGGGAAGGGAGCCCGCGGCCCTCGACCTCCTACTCGTTCCCTTTCTTCCCCCAGAGTTCAAGGAGGCCTTCTCCCTCTTCGACAAGGACGGAGATGGCACCATCACCACCAAGGAGCTGGGGACGGTGATGCGGTCCCTGGGGCAGAACCCCACCGAGGCAGAGCTGCAGGACATGATCAACGAGGTGGACGCGGACGGTGAGCCCCGCGGGGCGGGTGGGGAGCCCTCCGTGGGGTGATGGAGGCCGAGTCCCCGGGCCCCAGCCAAGGGCGTTCCCAGCTTCCCTCCTGCCCTCCAGGGAACGGGACCATTGACTTCCCGGAGTTCCTGACCATGATGGCCAGAAAGATGAAGGATACGGACAGCGAGGAGGAGATCCGAGAAGCCTTCCGTGTCTTTGACAAGGTGAGCGTCCTGGGGACTCGGGCAGAGGGGCGCATAGCGCAACAGGAGCTGCTGAGGCGCCCGTTCTGGAGGCCTGCCCTGCTCTCCCGGTCCCACTGCCCCCCGAGGAAGGCGGTGACCGCTCAAAGCTTCGACCTGTCCCCCAACACCAGGATGGCAACGGCTACATCAGCGCGGCAGAGCTGCGCCACGTCATGACGAACCTGGGGGAGAAGCTGACGGACGAGGAGGTGGACGAGATGATCAGAGAGGCTGACATCGACGGGGACGGCCAGGTCAACTACGAAGGTGAGCCGGGCCGGGCCGGGCCGGGCCGTCCCCGGGGAGGGTGCGCGTGGCACAGCCCCGCTCACCTCCTCCCTCCCTCCCCTTCCAGAGTTTGTACAGATGATGACCGCAAAGTGAAGGCCGGGCAGCTGGCGATGCCCGTTCCGCTCTCGCGCGCGCGCTCTCTTCAGCACTCCCCTGCGTACCCCGGTTCTAGCCAACGCCAATCGATTGACTGAGAATCTGATAAAGCAACAAAAGATCTGTCCCACGCTGCATGACTGCTTTCTCCTTCCCCAGGTCTCCTCCGTGCCCGTCACCTCCCCCTCGCCCCGCCCCCTCCACTCGCCTCCTCCTAGGCCTGCTGCCTTCACAGGGTGACCTCCCCGACCCCCAGGGGAGCCTCTGCCCTCCTCCTGCAGCCCGGCGGCTCTCCTCCGTTTTGGTTTGTGTCCTTTGTTTGTCACCTTATTTTGGGTGCCGGGGCGGCTGCCAGCCCTGTCCCGGGACCTGCTAGGGAGGGGACGAGGCCTGCGCCCAGGCAGAAGAGCCCGCCGTGGCCATTGCATGCAACCAACCCTGGGGTTCTGTGCAAATCCCCGCGGGCTTCTGGGGCAGGGGCGCCGAGCGGGGCACCCCAGAAGTATGGTGGGGAGTAGGGCGGCGTGTTGGCTGGATGTGGCCCGGCGAGGGTCGAGGGTGAGGAGTCTGGAAGCCGGCATTCATTACACAGGCGGGGCCGGCTTGCAGCAGGGCACCGACCGAGGGGGCAGCACCCACACCCCACCGGCGGCTCTTCTGAAACCCTCCGATTGGCTTCCTAAGGTCGGGCTGGGCGGGGCTGCTCAATTGGCCACTGCAAATCGGCCCTGCCCTGCCCCTAACCCGATCTCAAGCTGTTCTGTAAATACCTGGTGCTAAGTCCCATGCCTCTCCCTAGTGACGCGCCCGCCCACCCACCCAGGGTCCCCTCGTGGGAACCTACGTGTGGAGATGGTCGCTTTGTAATGTGCTAGTTATCCCGTTGTTTTTTCTTCATGCCCCTGAAAACTTAAATTTTGTCAAAAACCAAGCCGGGCTAGCTGAAGGGTGGGGAGAGGGAAGATGCCCCCACCACGCCCTTGAGAGAACATACCTGCAATAACAGCCTGGTCGGCCAGCTGCCCGGAGCGGCGGCCGAGGGCAGATCTGCTTCCTGGCCCGCCGGCCCCTCCCGCTTCTCGTGGTGATTTGGCTGGCTCCCTCACATCTGCCGTCTCTGTGCCCTCTCCCCTGCCTTTCCCCTGGCCCACCTGCCTGCCCCCACACTCCCCCAGCGGAGAGCATGATCCGTGACCTTGCTTCTGACTTTCTGGGACAAGTAAGTCAATGTGGGCAGTTAGATCGTCTGGATTTTTTTTTTTTTTTCCCTTTCGCTGTTCATTTCATCTGCCCCCCACCCCCAGGTCGATCAAGTGGCTTTTCCTGGGACCTGCCCAGCTTTGAGACTCTCTTCTCATCCACCCTCTGGCACCCAGCCTCCGGGGGAAGGGAAGGGAGGGGTGGGCATAGTGGGAGATCCAGCCAAGAGCTGAGGGTAAGGGCAGGTAGGCGTGAGGCTGTGGACATTTTCGGAGTGTTTTGGTTTTGGTTTTTTTTTTTTTTTTAACCGGGCAATATTGTGTTCAGTTCAAGCTGTGAAGAAAAATATATATCAATGTTTTCCAATAAAATACAGTGACTACCTGATCGGCTCTGGTCTTCTCGTCTCGGTTTCTGGGCCTGCCCCTTGCACAGGCCCCGCTGTCCTGCCCTGGAAGCACCTTTCCTCCATGCTCGTTCCCAAGACGCGGTGGCCTCGTCACCGCAGCCAGGTGGGGACTTCTGGGCCGGAGTTCGGATCCCAGCCAGACCGCACACTTGTTGAGGGCAGCCTGTCAGCTTTGAGTGCTCGCCGCGGGCCAGTGAGAGACCAGCTCCACCGCCGGGGGCGGCAGGGACATCTGTCAGCCTGCGAGATGAGAACTGAGACGTCCTTGGGATCGAGGGGGCAGGGTCAGACCTTGGGGGCCCGGGCGGGGTCGGGGCGTCTGCAGGGTGCTCTGGGGAAGAGGTGGCATTCACTGAATGAGTCGATGCCTAAGTGTGCCATGTGGTCCCGAGCTCGTGGAGTGTCAGTCAACCCTGGGAGAGGGCACAGGACTCGGGGACGTGAAACCTGCAAACTGCGGAAAGCTCGGCTTCCCCAGGTAAGGGGGCCGTGAAGGAGAAGGGCCCGCAGCCCAGCGGTACTGTAGAGGGAGGACGAGGCAGAGTCCCCGGGGGGCTTTCCCAAACTACACGTGGCCCCCTCCCCCTACCCAGTGCGAATCCCATTCAGGGGCGCAGGGGATGAACAGCCGTCTAGCTTCCGAGCGGCTCGCACTTCGCCACGGGAGCAGCAGGAGTCGGGCAGACAGTTGAGTGGAATGAACATCTTCGCCAGGCCGTGGAAGCATGGGGAAGCCTGGCAGGGCCCAACCTCCAGCTGGCCTCGTGGCAGAGCTTAGGCCTGAGCTGGGTCTTCCCTGTGCGGGCCAGTCACCAGAGCCTAGCACTGTGGGACTGGGGGGCGGGAGCAGCAGGCTATCTTCCCAGAGCCCCAGCCTCTGTGCCCGTTTTTCTGCCTCTGGTTGTGGTTTGGCATGGTGGGGAAATGTAAGGGATGAGAGCGGGTCTGGGCAGACCACTGGCCCCGGCACTTGACCGCCTCCGTGGCCTCAGGCATGTGGCTGGTCCCCAGACCTCAGTGCCCTTGTCTGTCGGCTGAGCCGAGGACTGAGCTGCCCACAGCCATGAGGCCCAGGGTGCAGCGAGTGCCCAGTGAGCATTTGCCATTCACAGAGAGCGTCTTGCCTCACAGGTGCTCCTGGAAGCTCTGTCTATGATCTCATCGAACCCTCCAAGCGGCCATGGGGGCCGAATGCCGTCGGTTTCCATTTTGCAGCCCAGGGAACCGAGGCCCAGAGAAGCGAAGAGACGGCTCGAGGTTAAGGCAGAAGCGGCAGGGCTGGGATTCGAACCTATCTGACCCCAGGGAGTCCGTGCTCGGCTGCCCAGTTTTAGATAACAGCCATTTTTTTTTAAAATGTGATTTCAGGCAGGCCACAGACAGAGCCAGTTAGAAGGCTAGGCTGAGGCCGGAGTCACAGCGGTGGGGTCTGAGGTGGGAGCCGCCCTCCCAGCACCCAGGAAACCTGGAGAAAGTCTGGCCTCATAGTCGAGGGGAAGACAGGCTTCGGTGACCCAGGCCCCATGCGATCACTCACTGCAGTGAATCTGCACTCGCTAAGCCTTGAGCCGCTTCCACCACCTCCTACCTGATAAGCTCGGAGCAGTGACTTCACTTCTCTGAGCCTCAGTTTACTAGTCTGCAAAATGGAGAATAAGTGTATAAACAGAGGATCCTAAAAATATCCACCCCGGAGGTTTACGCTTTCGAAACATCATCTCATTTAATTCTCAGGCCAGACTGAGTGCTAATAAAACTCACCCATTTGTGGGGGGCGTATAGGCACGAGAGAAGTTATTGTAGAGATCCAGCAGTACAGGAATGGAGGCCTGGGCAGGGAGAGCCTCTAGCACCCGCTTCCTGGAGGTGGCTGAGCTGGGTCTCAGAAGCCCAGATTATTCTGACCCCAGTGCCCGGGCTGTTGCCCACCGCCTCCCAGGGCCCTTGTGTCTCTCGCCTCTCACCATTTTCCCCCTTGGGCCCTGTGTTTTGAAAGACAAGCCACATCATTAAATAATCTTGACTTTCCTCTCCCGTTCTTTATTAATCAAAGACAGATAGCCGGCACTCAGAGCTTCTGATGGACCCGGAGCAGGCCCTGAGGAGAGCTGACTCCAGCCCAAAGCGCATGTCATTCCTAGTGTGACCAGAAGGTGGGGCAATGACAACAGAAGTCCGGGTGAGCGGCAAGTCCCAGGGACCAGCCGTGTATGAGTGCGTCCCTAAGTCCCATCTGTGGGCCTGGGCTGGAGTTAGGAAGACAGAAGCGCACAAAGAAATGAAGTCAGGACGTGGTTCCATAGTGGAGCAGTTAGCACGTCCGCTTTACACGCAGAAGGTCCTGGGTTCATGGCCCAGTGGAGCCACAGTCCATGGTCTGCAGCCATGCCACCCTGAACAAGCCCGATGTCTGATCTCGGAAGCTAAGCAGGGTCGGGCCTGGTTAGTACTTGGATGGGAGACCACCTAGGAAGATCAGGTGCTATAGGCATAAATAATAATAATAATAATAATAAAGAAATTAAAGATGAATAAAGTCTCCTGGAGGGAGACAGACCCATTCCTAGCATGTCACCTCTTGACCCCCAGCCCAGAGTGGGGCAGGCGCTTCCTACCTGTTCTCACAGGCCTTTTCACTGTGCTGTCTCCGTATGTATTGCAGCCTGCACGTTTGTATATGTGATGCTTATTGTAATACACGTTTCTGTTTTTATTAAGTTGTCACCCTACGGGATCATGACTGACAGAAGGCCAAGGCAGCGTCAGTCATTGCTGTATCTCCAATGGGCACACAGCAGCCTCGGGCCTCGAGCAGGCTCAAGGGAATTTGTTGAATCAATAAATGAAAGAGAGGCTAAAGAAGGAAGGCGTTAGAGACCAGAGTCAGAACTGTGACCACTACAGAAACCTTCCTCTTTACTTGGCTCACTTTCTTCCAGGCCTTAGGTCTTGGTTCAGCCATCCCCTCCTCCAAGAAGCCCTCCCTGATGTCTCCCTGGGATACACTTCCCCAGCCCTCAGCCCCGGCCGCTTGACTGGGAGCCCCAGATGGGCAGGGCCAGGGCTGTCTCTGTCACTGCTATGTCCCAGCATCACAGGGATGAGACCCGCCATTTGATCGGCCCTCAATAAGAGTCTGCCGAGTGAACAAACAAATGTCTGTACGAGGCAGGCTTCAGTGAGTGCCACTATGGAGCCCAAAAAGTGCCAGGCATGCCTGAGAAAGGAGTGATTAAGTCGAAGAGGAGGGGGAGGGGAAGGGGAAGGGGAGGAGTAGGGGGGGAGGAGGAGGAAGAGGAGTTTAAGCAGGACCTCGTGGGCCCTGGCACTTTTGATGGATGGAGAAGGGGTAACACTGTTCCAGGAAGCATGAGCTCAAAAAGCAGAGGTGGAGACCCAAAAGGTCATGGGTTCTTTGGGGAAACCTTGGCTGTGTGCTGCGGCTGAGCGGAGCCCGTGGGAGTTGGCCCTTGGCCTCCAAGCCGTGGGAGCCCTCAGAGCTCTGCAGGCAGGGGAGTGGCTGCTTAGACAGGACCTTCCGCTAGGGCCTTGGCAGCTAGCTCAGGGGACACACGGATGGAGCGGGTGCACGGGCAGTCGGGGCTTGGGACCCCAGCAAGGAGACGAGTTCCCAGATCATCCCCGAGGGGCTGCGGAGTGGACAGGGTGGGAGTCGTTTGAGCCCCACCCCAACCTGGCAGATGATGTAGACGTCCAGGCCAGAGGCGATGGGGTCTGAGAGGAACAGCAGGATGCAGAGGAGGGG